CTGTCTAAAAACTAGAGCATATATACCCCTTATATTAAATTAATTCTTTTTTTCGAAATTTTGCCACAACTCATTCGACTTAGAGTTCAAAATCTATGTTTGTACTTGTTTAGCTAATATTTAATATACATATTCACAGTCTGAGTCAAAGTTATTGGATTTGAAATCGCACCATGTAGAATATACTAGTTTCTCCATATCCAAAACTCGAACCTAAAACCTATGAGCCCTAGTACTTTTTAACTCTTCTAAAAATTGAGCTTCCCTACAAGAAGCACCACCAGAATCAAGGCTCTCCCCCCAATAGCACACCCCAGCTACCTTACTTACTTCAATGGCTACTCATCATTCATCAAATATCATGGCATTTAAACCTCTCAATCTCATACAACTCTTTATATTAACATTCCTTTGTGTCTATAATATGTAATAAATAGTGAGTCCCACTTTCATCAAGAGTTGTTCCAATCTTCATATTGTTTAAGTGAAATTCCAATGAGAATTTTCTATTCACAACTCACTATTGATAATGTACTCTCCATTGTTTAGTCTTTGTCTAATCTTTACCTTCTTCCTTCTCTCCTCTGCTACTCATCGTCGCCTGCTCCATCAACCGCTTCCTCCAACTTCAACTCCGTCCATTAATAAAGCTAAACCTCTATTTCCTTCTCCTCATTTTCATCCATTTTTCGTATTTCTTCTTCCTCCTCCGCCACCTTCGAATGATTTTGCCACTTTCCCTGCTAACATTTCCTCCCTCATTCTTCCACATTCCTTGCATTCCTCTAATAAATCCATCACCAACAAATTCATCGCCATTCTTGTATCAACATCCATCCTCTCTGCTACATTCGTCACTGTCCTTGTTCTTTTCTTCTTCTTTTACCATCGCTATCCCCACCGTGAAGATGAACACTATGATGATGATGATCACGAGACAGATGATACTCTCCGACTTGTCTCATCTAGTACAACCCCTTCACACATTGAAATTGAAAAGGATACGTCGTCAACATTTCTGAGATGTAGGGAAGAAATTTCTCAAACTTCTGCTACCTCAAATGACTATGTCATGCTAAACTACCAAAGAATTGGATCACCAGAACTCCGTCCTCTCCCTCCATTGCCACGACATCAATATTTCAAGCAACATCTTTATATTGAATCATTTGAAGATGAATACGACGGATTCTTCTCCCCTAGAGGATCCTCTGGGGGTAGAGGAAGTCCCGATTTCATACAAAGAAGTTTCCGGTATCAATATCTGAATTACAATTCATCAAATGATTCATTATCCAATAGCCCTTCTGGAGAAGTGAGTTTGGTTAAATTTCCAGCACGACCGAGGTTTATTCTTCAGCAAGTGGAAGATAGGCCAATGTCATCGTCTTCAATATCTTCCGGTAGTACTCATAATTCCCCTGCTTCTGAAATTTCAAGTTCCTCACTACAGAATCCCGTGTCTACTATGAGTAAATTCGGATATCCTGAGAGGTATGTATCGAGGGGACTTCCACCTCCACCACCACTGCCACCACCTCGAGTAGTAATCGAAAATGATGGGCCATCGATGCCCGTTTCATTCCATAGTGCTGATGGAGAAAGTATAAAGCCAAAGCTAAAGCCTCTGCATTGGGATAAAGTCAGAGCCAACTCAGATAGAGCAATGGTTTGGGATCAACTGAAGTCTAACTCTTTTCAGTAAGATTTATGTTATCACTCCAAGTCTTTAAACCAATGTTGCTCAGACTCTTCAAAATGTTGCGGTACATGTCAGATTCTCCTAAAACACACTACTTTAGGAGAATTCGACGTGCATCTATCAACATTTTTTAAGAGACTGAGCAAATATAGAATTAAATTAATGCATATCTTTTTATTTAGAGATATTATTTAGTAGTATGAACTTGTTTGATCTTCTAACTTCTTTTTTAAAAAAAACTTATTTGATCTTCTAACTTCTTTTTTTAAAAAAAACTTATTTGATCTTCTAAAGTTTTAACAGCTTGATAATTCAGTATTTTCCTTGTTGTGAATGGATTTTAGTTCATTTCATTGGTACGCCCATCCCAATGGCATCATTCGAATTTTGAGAGTCAAACATTTTAATCTTGATTGAATTCAAACATGGAATCCTTATTTTTTTTAAGAAGAAAAAGTTTAAGTCACAAAAATTGAAAATTCAAAATTCTTAAATCACAGTCAGAAAAACTTGTTTGACTCTTGAAACTCGAACAGCGTCATGTAAATTGGGACAGAGGAAATATATATTTCCTAATCAAGATAAACAAAAATGTTTCCTAATCTTGAAGAATGGTTTTATTGGTAAATTTTTTATATTTTCCCACTTCTTTTTTTTGTTGTTGCTATTTTAGGTTAAATGAGGAGATGATTGAAACATTATTCACTATAAATTCTTCAAATTTAAATTCAAAAGAAGGTGTAAGACTCCCAATTATTCCTGTGATGAATCAAGAGAAGCAGTTGCTTGACCTAAAGAAGTCTCAGAACATTGCAATTTGGTTGAGAGCACTTCAAATTACTAGTGATGAAGTTTGTGAAGCACTTTTAGAAGGTTAGAAACTATTTTATTTTGTCATATTTAATTGATATCTAAATTTTTTGCACTTAAATACCATGTTTTTATACATGAGATGCGATGCACTTAATCCACACGTCACGTGTTGCATTCTGACCAATAGATCAAAGTCATGCTGGTTTCTTTTATGTCTAATTATTGTATGAGTTTTATGAAGAAGTTTAAAGGCCTTTTATGTATTTTTACTGTGGTGATTTCACATTCTAGTTTTAAATGATGAACTGCAAATTGGCACATACTATAATATGGTGACATTAAATTCTGGTCCTACCAAGTGATGTGTCCATTATTAACACCTTAAGCCATAGCTAGTACTCCTCTGTACCAATTTATGTGGTACATTATTGTTTTTTTGAGCGAAAACAGTTTAAGTTTGACCTGGAATTTACCCATGAAATCTTATATATTTCTAAACTACGTAAAAGGTACTATAAATCACAATAATTGATGAGTCAAATTGTTTAAAAGATCTAGGAAAGAAAAATAAACTTGTTTGATGTTGCTCTGATGCTCATCATATTTTGTTGGGATGTCATATTCATATTTATGAATGAGCTCTGATGCTCATCAAGCCTTTTGTTTTACATATTTACTCATTTAACATATTCTCTTTGCCCCTTAACCACCTCCCAGTCTAGGACAAAAAGTGAAAATTAAGATGCTTTTGCATAAGGAACTACTTATGTATCTTCTTTATCCTAAAAAAACAAACAAACCAACCAGGTAGTGCAGACACACTCAGAATGGAGCTACTGGAGAGTCTGATGAAGATGGCTCCCACGAAAGAAGAAGAATGGAAGCTGAAGAACATCAAAGATGAATCGCCATTCAAACTAGGCCCTGCTGAGAAATTTCTCAAGGCAGTGGTTGATATACCTTTTGCATTTAAGAGAGTGGATGCAATGCTTTACATAGCTTGTTTTGATTCTGAGGTCGAATACCTAACCAAGTCATTTCAGACATTCGAGGTAAATTATGATTTCCATCCATGAACTCGCGAACCTAGTCCTAGTCTGCATTGATGGAACGACACTACATACACTGCAGTTGTATGATGATAAAAATCTTCTTGTCTGAAATTTACTCTACTTAAGTTCCTAGCTAGGTTGATTTTGATCCCTTTTCTGAGTCTTATACTCCGACTCCCCAACTCAAAACTGGCTGGAAATGCCCGTTTTGAGCTTCCTCAGGGCGGATGTTCTCGCTGATCTTGACTTTACAAATAGTCAGCTTCTGTTTTTCCATATGGATTCTCTTAGAATTAGGGACCTTTAGTTATATAAAATTTCACTTCTCTCACTTTCTTTTTTTGTTATTTCATTATTGCAGATTGCATGTGAAGAGTTAAGGAATAGCAGAACATTTTTAAGGCTTTTGGAAGCTGTACTCAGAACTGGAAACCGTATGAATATGGGAACAGACAGAGGAGATGCACGTGCCTTCAAGCTCGACGCACTTCTTAAGCTTGTCGATATTAAAGGTGCTGATGGAAAAACCACCCTCCTGCATTTTGTTCTTCATGAAACTATTAGAGCAGAAGGTTCTCACCTTTCTGATGCAGAGTTATCGTCTCACAATGAGTTTGAGTTTAGAAATGGTGTTCACGTTATCTCTGCCTTGAGCCACGAGCTTGCTAACGTGAAGAAAGCAGCTGTGATGGACTCGGATATTCTTAGCAATGAAGTTGCAAAACTAGCAGCAGGAGTTGCTAAGGTTACTGAGGTTCTAAAACTGAATCAAGAGTTTGTTTTGGATGAGAGTAGCAGAAAGTTTTGCGAGTCGATGAATGGATTCTTGAAGAAAGCAGAGGGAGAGATTATGAATATACAAGCTCAAGAGGAATTTTCTCTATCCATGGTAAAGGAGCTAACAGAATATTTCTATGGAGACTTGGCTAAAGAAGAAGCTCGACGGATCAGGATATTTATGGTAGTTAAGGAATTCCTCTCTATCATTGATCAAGTGTGCACAGATTTGGAAAAATAAAAGAGCAAACATTGTATATTTCACAAGTTTTTCGTGTTGACAGTGAAGGCAACAAGGTAACTCTTCTGAAGATGAAATATCCTGGAGTTCTTCATCCCTATATGTATTTTTTATGTATTATACAGAGATCTTACCATTTCAGAAAAAATTATATATATTATATTGAAGAAGTGAATAATATCGTGATTTTATCGTTTATGGGATGGTTGGAGTTAACAAGGGAGGGTAGATTGTACGCAAACCTTACACCTACATTGAGAAGATAGAGAAATTGTTCTCGATAAACCGATGATATACCTGAACAATGGATAATAATCTAACCTATAATCTTATACACTTATTGTCACATATAAATGGTATAGGGAAAAAATATTAAGCAAAAATAAACACTCAAATGTGCAGTTGTATCATACTCTTATAAGAAATAGTAATACTCTTCTTGTTTCATTCAAAATATGATAACATTCAACTCTAGAAAATACATAGAGTTGCTATATTTTTGAACTTTTTGTATCAATTGTCTATGGAAAGAGAACTGACCATAAATTTAGGCCATAAATTAATCAGAAATAGAAATGGTTACATTATTCTATATGTGAATAGCTGTAATTAACACAGCTTCTATGACCAGCTAAAATATTGGCCATATGCGCATCATGTAACACTATTCTATGGTCATTAAAAAGATAACCGTCGTCGAGATGAGAATAAACTCACAGCATTCTTTGCTGCTCTCACTTTGCTTACTAACACCTTCCACTTCACCTCGTCCCTCTTGGTCTGTTGCAGCATTTTCACCTTGAAATGACTAAAGCAATAAAAAAATAGGCATTTGTTAATGGAGGATAATTGAAGTGAGCTATACAAACAGAAGGAAAGTAGTTGACCAACATTTAAAGGATTTTGGTTTTCAAACTGAGAATCACTACTATTCCAAGCAACACGCAGCCTTTGTAATTTTGTGCTGATTTTTAAGGGTTCAACGAGTTTTAGAGAAATGGTCAACGGCTAAATATATGCGTACGATGCATCTTGTAACACTCACTTGTCCATCTTAAACTAGATATGGTACTGTGAAAAGTAGCTTGGTATTTTTTGGATATACTGCCAATACGAGTTGGGCTACAATACACCTTCTCTTTTGGATAAAAATGAGTAGGGCTACATGTTTAGGTATTGAAACTTTTTGACTTTTCAACTTTCACGACCCGACTTCATCTATATGCTTCAATGGTAAGAGTGTTAGTTCTTCAACAAAGATGCTTCAAAAATATAAAATTAGTCATCCTTAATGCAAAGAAACTTTGCTTGCCCTGCAATAGTTTGAAATATGCAAGGTACAGAACTAAAGTCGATAGCCGTGAAAGCACAGTGCTAGCAGGTGATGTCAATAATTGACATGTAATCTACTGTGGATAAGCATAGTGCTAGCAGATGAAGTAAACAAAACGCGAGTCATATACTGTATGACAAAACTTTAAATATATATCCGCTTCACGAACTGTGATTCTATCTAGTAAAATGTTAGCAGAAAGTTTATTCACTTACCTACAAAGAGGAACTTTGCAAGAGTCGGGTTCTTCACAAATGCGTGAATGTAGCTCAAAAATCTGCCACATTCGCTTACATTGTATACATCCACCAGGAACTTTAATTTTGCAATTAGAGAAATGACGGACCAGAGACTCCAGCCCCTTGCATGCAGGAAAACTACAGGCCTCTTGGCTTGCTTTAAGCACCTTGTCACGAGGTCCAATAGTTCGACACCCATCCCTGCAAATGTGAACCAGAGCTTCCATAGCTTCATGCAGTTGTAAATACACCTTTTTCTCTTCAATTTTCTTCAGCCTATCTTGTTTTCTCTGAAAAACAAACAATAATAAGACTATCTATGCCAATCAATCTACTCCAAATGACATGGCATCACAGTAGATCTGGGACAAATCACTGGGTGTTCTAATTATATAGGAGAACGTGATATTCTCTAGACAAATTGCAGTAACCATCTTACCGTATCAGCTTCAACAACAAATTCTAAAAGTTCCTGTTCAAGTGTGGGATTAGCACGTCTCATTACTTTCCAACCCTCAGTAGATGATATGCTCTTGAAGTTTCCCACGACCATACGAATGCAAAAGAGAGTAAGCCGTGATGCATCACAGTCCCTCGCCAACTGAAGCACATCTATTACGTTATTTGAGTTCAACCAACCCTGCTCCAAATAGTTTATGCACACTCTTTTAAGTGATGGTACTGAGTAGAAATGTGATAAGACCAACAGATGCAGAACAAGCTTCTTTACATCTACTTCGTCGTAACTGCATTAGGTTAAAAAGGTGACATAAATGACTATGTGTAAATAAAAGTACCATGTAAATAGCTTCGATTTCGTAGATCTTCATAAATTTATGATGCTATGCAAACATTGCCCTTTGACTCAATCATATGTTTAAGAAATTTAAGATCATTCATACCATTCTTATCCTGAATAGCTAATGTTGGATAAGCATTTTTATCATCAATAATAAACTTACTAAAGATTCAATAATTCTAGAAGGTGAAACTTTCTGCATACCAGGCTGAGTAGAGGAAACGGATGAATACATAGACCGCGTCATGAGGTACCCCAGCGATTTTTATGCATCTAATACCATTCCTTACTTTGGATTGCTGCAGAAGATTTCCCAGAACTGGAGATGCAACAGTCTATGGAAATGATAAGGGAGAAAGCACAATAAATAATGGGCATTGTTAATAAACAAAACCTGACAGACAAAACAAGAAGTTAAAACGTTCGGATTTCTAACCCTATAAAATCCCAATTCAGTGCAAAACAGTATCCAGTCAAAATGAAGATAACAAAACAGTGATCTAGTGAATGCCTCAACGAAAAAGATGTGTGCGGTTTGGAAATGGCAGGATATTATTAAGGGAGTACTAACCAGAAGGGCATGATGAGCTGGAATAACTGATCCATTTTCTGTAATTACATGTACATCTGCACCAAATCCTTCTTTGAAGAGCCTGTCCCATGTATCTTTTGGGACACAATCAGAATTAGCAAGTAGCCGAGGAATAGTGGCTCTTGACGGAATTTTACCAGGAACTGGAGGAGGTTTCGGAATATTTGTAGGTAGATTACAAACAGGAGATGTTGGATCTTCAAAAAATTCGACACTGTCAGCTGCGCCTTCTTCTATGCGTATGTTGAAGGATCCACCAAAAGATTCAACAGCTGCTGATAGCCAAGAGGTATGCAAGTCTGGTGATGCCATCAACTACTAAACCAAATATTTATCCAACAAAGAAATATCACGACCACCTATTGAATGAAATAAAAGTAAAAAAAAAAAAAAAAGTTTACTTTCAAGCTTCACTCAGGAATATCTAAAAAACCAGACATCCATTATAATATTGTGAAGATATGACACCTAACTCAACCCCAAATGCTAGCTCATGGTGGAGGAATGCCCAACTCCGTATAAGAAAACCACCAATCCATTCTCCAAACAATGTGGGACTCTAACACCCTCTTCACACTCAGGCACAACTAGAAAATGGACTAGAAGTACAAGCGGAGATGGACCTGACTTTGATACCATATTAATATATGGCACTTGGTCTAACTCAACCCCAAAAGCTAGCTCATGATTGGAGAATTTTCCAAGTCAATATAAGCAAACCACTGACCCATTCTCCAACTAATGTGGGACTCTAACCCACTCTAACATATAATATAGCAAATCAAGTTCAAACAATCCAACCCAATTCAATGGTTCTATGCTGAACGGGGTAGCTAGCGCACTAAGCCTGCGCTATAAGCAGGGTCCAGGGAAGGGCCATACCACAAGGTTCTATTGTACGCAGTCTTTCTCTACAATTCTGCAAGAGGTTGTTTCCACCTCTCGAATTCGTAACCTCCCGATCACATGGTTGCAACTTTACTAGCTACGTCAAAGCTCCTTTCTCAACAATTCTATGTTGTTGATTAGTATTTGTCATGCCAAAGTAATTTCTTCAAAAAAGAAAGAATTTGGCATCCTTTTAAATTGTGGTTTAAGCAAATAAAGGGGAGCAAAAAGAAATAATGGAATAAAAGCTCAAAAAGAACCAACAGTAAAAGCCTCCAAATATCTTAAGCACTAATAACTTTATACTAAATTCTCTATTTGCTTTAACCAACTTTTCTTCTCTTCAAAGTTAGAAGCCTATTCCATGCTTTTTTTCAAAACCCAAAATTGGGTAACATTCACAAGTACCATTAGACAAAGAAGCAAAACATAAGAAATAAATTACCAGACAAGTCCTAGAAACTTCTTATTATCCAAATAAATAAAATACACAAAACTGATAAAATGATATACAAACATTTATTTATTAAAGATCAAATTTATGCTCTCCTTGACTTATTTCCTTTCTATAATCAACAATGTGGCAGGCTTTATCTTTAAATTATTGCAAAAATCAAGCAACACTAGCAAGTGGTTAATAGATTAAGTTGAAAACTACAAGGTCTCAGGTTTAAATCTCATCAGAGATTTTGAAAAAAAATATAATACTAAGAGTGTGTTTGGTGTGGAGGAATATCGTTCTCAAACAATATTTTTCAATTTTTCAGTGTTTGGTTAGTCTCTGGAAAATATTTTCTCCAGCAAAACGAACCCCGGTCCCTCACTCCCCCATCCCATTCCGCCGCCATAATGTTTTGATAGATACCACATAAATACACTTGGAATATTATTTTTTTACCGAACACTAGAAATAAATAAGAAATCAACTTATTTTTCTTCACGCCAAACACATCGATAATTTTTTCTCATGTCTCCTTCTTGATGGACAGAGTTATCTAATATATACTAGTTGTGAAAAATAACAAATATCCATAAAACAAATCAAAGGTAAGCACAAGCTAGCCCGAATATAATGGCTATTGTAATAATAAAAATCAAGCAAGATAAACAATCCATATAAATCAGAGTTAAAAAAACAGTTAAATTAGAAATTTCTGAAAATTAAAAATTACGAGAAACTCTAGATTCTAGAATTCCAATTCCATCACTTGATAAAAAAAAAAATCTTCTTCTTATTCAAAATAAATGGGCTAAATTATATGCTACATAGTACCAAATAATTTATTTCTTATCAATTTATAATATAGTAAAATTAAACAAAGAAAATCTCTATCAGAAAAAAATAATTCAAAACTTGATAATCCTTTTAACTTAATAATAATAATAATAATAATAATTAAAAGTTACAGTTTAACAGCAACATACCTTATAAAATCTTCAAATCTCTTCAAAAAAAAACCTCTACAATTGTTCAAACTTTCAGCTCAAAAAACCTGTAGAGTTAAAAAAAATAAAAATTCCATGAATTTAGTCTATCCAGAAAAATCTGATCTCAAATAATTATCACATTAGCTAAAATAAAGGGTGCCAAAAATAATTTTGATTTTCAAGAAAAAGAAAATAAAAAATTTATGTTCCATTGATAGATGATCTAAAAAAAAAAACTTACATGAATGGACAAACTGGAATTTGGGTATGATAAAAACAACACCTTTTTTTCTAAAAAACAATTTGGAGAAGAGAGAGTTGTGGGGTTGAAGAAGAAGAGAGGGAAGAAGTACTTATTTGAGGTGTAGCCAAGTAGGATAAAAAAGGAAAGGGGGTTTTAATAAATACAGAATCTTATACTTTAGGAGTATAAATATAAAAAATGATAGATGACTATACATATAATTAATTGGTCAAACTTTTACTAGTTGAGTCTAGATTTAAGTAATATGTATTTATAATAATCAAGTTTGACTTATTATTATGGCATGTTTTAGTAAAAGAAAAAAAAGGCTTAACTCATGTGCAATCACTTAAAGTTGTTCGCAAAATTCACTTAGACACTTTAACTTATTTATATATCGCTTGAACATCTTATTTGTTCAAAAATTATTTCCATTAAACACAAAATGCTGACATGGCAAAAAAATGTGTAGTTCACTTTCTTTGAGCGCGTTAAGTTATGAAAAATAATATATTTTCTTTTTTTTCATTAACTTTTACACCTAATTTAATTTTTAAAAAAAATTAATAAAAAAAAAAAAGAAACATACATCTTCTTCCCCAATATTGCTGCAACTATTATTTCACCATTTTTCATAATCTTTTTACATACGCACACTACACTAGACACCATCACCTCCACCTCTCTCTTTCTCTCACCCTCTATCGTTCTTCTTCTGCTTTTCCTTTTTCTTTTATATTGATTTAAGTTTCAAATATCTTGACGAAGTTCTATTAATTATGATGAAAAAAGATATGAATAGATTTTTTTTTTGGACAAAAACTTGTTATTATTATTTTTCAATTTTAACAAATCTTAATTAATGATTAAGAAAAAGTGTGATTGGAAGAAATATCATTTCCAAAATTGAATTAGATTCAAGGAGAGAGGTAGGTGGGTTGATCGAAAAAAAATATATAATTTCAAATTAAAAGGAAAAACGTCAAAGTGAAAATGGTTATTCGAAACATGATTCGATTTTGTGTCTTTTGGTAAAAAAATGTGGAATTTAAAGTTGGGGTTGGGTGAGAGTGGTTCCGGGAAGAAGAAGAAAAGGGAAGGTTGCTCTTTTTTTATTTTTTTTTCTCAAAAAATAGTTTTTATTTATTTAATTGTGTTTTTCTGGGCCCAATGCCAGATGTATCTTTTTTATTAGCTACCATGCCATGTCAACCACGAGTGTATGACACACCATCTTTATTTTTAATTGATTGTCAAAATATGTTCGATAGGTATTTTTTTTAACTAAAAAGGTGTTCAATTGAAACAAATCTAAGATAATGTGCCTAAATGAAATATGTAGACAACTTTAAGTGGTTGTAGATGACTTAAGCCAAAAAAAAAGTATAGGCTTGTGATTATGTAATATGAAATTATGAGATAAAGTTTAGATTTGTTTAGGTATATAATTTAATTTTTTATGTTAGTATATTTCGCATAAATATAATTTTTTTTATGAGTTGTAAAACTATTAAAATTGTCTCAATTCCTTTATATAAACTTTTTAAATTAGCAAAAGTTTATAAAAAGTAAAACACTATCAAAAAGTTATTCTTAAAAAATATAATATTTATTGATCCGAACTTATTTTAATTTTTAAAAAAAATCAATAATGGACATTGTTTGGTAAATAAATTTATCAAAAATAATGAACTTGGTGAATATAAATAGTAAAGTAGGAATTGATTTGAAGGGATACCAATCTTTATGTTGGTGAGAATAATTGTTACATGAGATGATTTATTTAAAAGTAGTATGAATTAAAAAAAAAGTTGTTTACGAATGAAATAAATGGTTGGTAGATGTAAAAGTGGAGTTTTAACAAAATATAAATCTGTGAGTCAATTTTTATATTCGAAAATTTTCAAGTCATCATTTGAAATTCCAACATGCTTTTTGGAGAGTTTGGAATTTCATCTAATGACATAAAATCATGAGATGAAATCAGCTTGAAATCGCATATCTAAACATTGATTCGTTGTATAATTTATAAGATTAGCTTTTATTTCTTGTTTGGTTTGTCATATACAAACTTATATTCGTCGCATAATTTCTAAGAATATGTTGTTTGTTTACAATAATATCTTCCACCTTATTTAGTTTGTTTTTCTTACATTTTCTTGGCAAGCTTTAAATAGTTATTCATTCTTAAAAATAAAATTTCATCTTATCAAGCTTAAATATATTGTGTATTCATTTCCATGATTGTGCCGTGTGTTTTTTAAAATTAGGCATAATACATATAGTAGACCCTAAATTTGACATCAAATTTTGACTTTGACTTTCAACTTACATAATGCACAAACATACACTTTAACTATCCAACTTTTAAATAAATAAACACATGAGTCCTACGTGGCACAATACACGTAGGACACCATGTAGGACAAAAAATGACATGTAAGACATGTGTGTTTATTTGTTCAACTTTATACAAGTTTAAGTGTCTACTTGTGCACACCCAAAGTTGAAGAGCGTAATGTGATTTGAAGCCAAGTTAAAGGGCACAATTATATATTTAAAAAATAGAACTTTCATCTTGTTTAGCTTTAAAATGAAATTTTCATCTCATTTAGCTTATTATTCAGTTTTAAAATAAAATATTATCTTATTTAGCTTAACAATAAAACTTCCAATTTAAGTTTATTAAAGTAAAAGAAATTTTATCCTTAAAATTATCTACATTTTAATATATAAAAATACCATTTATGCATTGGAGCATAAATGATTTTCGCAAAAAAATCTGACATTATTAAATGGAGATTTATTCTCTTTTGCTGGCTGCAATGAAATTTGTTTCAAGTCTAGCAACAAATGAAATACTTGAATATGTGTAATGAATGATTGTCATGCCTAGCTAGACGATAAAAGTTATATGAAAATCCTTAAAGAATTTAAAAGTTCTCAAAACACTTTCATTGAGTACTCCAATGTTTGTGAAATTGCTTAACATAAAGAAAAATAAATATATTTCAATCATATGAAAATGATTAAAAATATCATGTATTAATACAATTGGTGCACATACAAATTATTGATTGTTCACATGCCGAAACTGTGTGATTTTTCTTTGAAAAGAGATATTCCAGCCATCATATATAAAGATAATGATGCATGTATAACTCTATTCAAGGAACATCATATCAAAAGAGACTGGACAAAGTACATTTCGACGATGTTCTTCTCGCACATGATTTTCAACAAAATGGTGAGATGTGAGTTTAAACTATTTGGTCAAGCGATAATCTAACAAATTTATTCTTAAGGCATTTTCAACCTCGATAGTAGAAAAGTTGAGATATAAGATTGGAATGACCATTTTCCAAGATATCAAGTTAAGTTTTCATCAGGAGGAGTGAAATGCTCATTGTACTCTTTTCATTAACCATGAGATTGTTCCAATTGAATTTTTCTGGTAATATTTTTAATCAGGCAGCACTCAAAGTATATTATGATATGTATGTACTCTTTTTCTTTCACTAGACTTTTTATCACCGAATTTTTCCTAGTAAAATGTTAACGAGACACATTATATATGGACATCCAAGAAGAGGGTTATAACTGAATTGTCATTGAGTTTATCCATAAACTTACACTTATCATCATCTATGTGTATATATGCCCTAGATTCTATGAATCTTTTTGGATAATATATATGTATCTATTTATTATGACACTTAATATGGTGACTTTTGGACTGATTCTTCAACCTATAAATAGGGTTGTTCATTCACCATTGTAAGATGCACATAACTTGAAAACAATTGAACAAGTTGATCCCTATATTTTACTCCTCATACATCTTGTCTATATTTCTTTTAGTATACCATTCATATTTTACAACAATTTGGGCCATTTTGTGTCTATCACATAGCCACTCAAAAATAGTCTAATTACTTTACATAACTATATTTAATAATTATAACTCGTAGCTACATGTTATAAGGAGGAGAGAGGCGAGCGAGATTGGGAGAAGAGGAGAGAGGCGAACGAGATAGGACAAAGAGTGTGAGAGAGGTGAATTATATATGTATATCGGTTAGATAATTGTATATTATACATATGCATTTGTATATATGACAAGCGACATTGAGAGGGAGGAGAGAGGTGACGGAGACTGAGAGAGGGAGGAGGGAGGCGAGCGAGAGAGGTGAATTGTGTATGTATATAGGCTAGATAATTGTATATTACGTATATGTATTTGTATATTCTGGCAAATCATACATATACAAACGTGACTAATTATCAAAGTCACCCCACGTAATTAATGTAGTATAACGTTAGTCGTGAGTGATAATTATAGCAAACTATAACTATGATGAGTAATTAAGTAGTATAAGTTTGTTTAACCGCATAATTTTTTTTTATTTGTGTATCAAAAGCTAATTAATGTTAGACTATTCATTGCTAATTATAACTACCCTTTGTATATATTTTGTATAAGAATTATACGTATCAACATGAACAAATAAAAGTTAAAAAAAAAATTATCAATTAAACATAAAAAAAATTATTCTCCAAAATTCATTTCCTCAGATCCAACTGAAACACACTCTTTAAAATATATGTGAATCAATAGAACAAATTTATAAATTAACTAAAGTGAAATAAATTAGATCGGAGCATAGAACTTAAGAATGCAAGAAATAACTTACAAAAAGGTTATTGTATTGCTTCTAATTAATCACAATTTCATGGACTAATAAGTGATGAATAAATAAAATTTAAAAAAGATATAATGTGTTAGTCATGTATTTGAAATTATCTTCCAAATAAAATAAACGACTCGTTGGAAAGACAAAAATAATTGTCATATATATATATATATACACAGTGGCGGATTCAGAATTCAAAGATTGTGCGTGCTCACTTCCTTTAACATAACGCGCCTCTTATTACAAAGATTTAAATCAGTCCCACCCACAGCTGTTTTTATTCTATGGGTGCTCATTTAAATTATAATAATATATGTATCATATTTTCTATATATATACAAAAAAATTTGAAAATCAATCGGTGCTCGAACATCCACGTCTGAGTTACTGGGTCCGCCCCTATATATATATATATATCTATATATATAAAGAGTTAGGGAGACAGGCATGATGCTACTAATATT